TGCGATCCCATTGCCGGTCCCGGTCCGGTACGGGGGCGACACTGAGGGTTGCGATCCATTGCCGGACACGGAAAATGACAAAAAAAAAAAAGAAAAAGAATCCAGGTATACTTTGTGCAAAATATGCCGTAACTTGGAAATATTCTATTTGGAATATTTTGTAACCAACAGATCAGACAGCTGAACTGATAGCTCTATTAAGAGCACGTCATCTTGCTAAATGATTAAGACTTAACGTCCAAAACCTTCTGTGGATGAGCTTTCAGGATTGCTTCTGATTTCAGCATATTGGGCGGACAAAGGGGTTTCCTAAGTTCCTCAGACACCTCAATCAAAAAGTGAAAAGAAACTAATGTCTTGTTAAAGGTAATTTAACGCTCAAAGAAAATTCTAGTTATTAAGAATAAAGCCCATATTAAAGTTAACACTTTAAAGCCTACTACCACATACAAAGAGCACTTTCTAGCTTTACCAGCACTGGTATTAAAAAGTCAGTTGTTCAATCTGATTTCTGGATGAGAAGGACTAACTAAAATATAGCACTCTGCCTTCACTGGGGGTAGGTGGGTAGATAAGGGGAAAGACATTCGTTCTGTCAAGACTGTTTTGTTTCAAACTGCTGGGTATCTCCTACACTACCTCTAAACCAATAAATATTCATGCTGCAAATAATAATAATATCCCAAATAACAGGGACAAATTGGCTCAAACTTTACAAAATATCAATTTTTGCCGAACCCGTGGCTCACTCGGGAGAGTACGGTGCTGGGAGCACCGAGGCCGCAGGTTCGGATCCTGTATATGGATGCGGGTGACACCAAGACAAGGGTTACGATCCCCTTACCGGTCACACACACAAACACACACACAAAAAAAAAACCCTGAAATACAAAATATCAATTTTTAAAAATTTACCTAAGAGGTTCAATAGGTGATAAAATACTATTCATTTTAATTATCATAATCCAGAAAAAATATATGAAGAAATGTCCCAATTAAAGACATTTGAACATTTACAAACGGATTTAATTTAGTTGACCAAATCATGACCCTTTAAGTACTTTTTAATAATAGTTTATAACTTTTCTGGTAGGCTAAAGCTTTCCCTTAGTTCTAAGTTTTATGCCTAGGACTAATGATGTACTTTGTTAAAATTTTCATACATTCTCATATTAAACTATTATAGGAAGACTCCATGAGGCTGGGTTTGACTCATCCTCTAACAGATTCCATCCTTGGTATGTTGCAATCTTGTAATATTTTTTCAAAAATGAATCTCATATACAGTCTTATTCCCAACATACCAATATATATTCTGAAAGGATATATTGTGCCTCCCACCATCATCAGCATGATGTACACCTGGGAGACTAGATTTATTAGAAGAGACACCAATAAAGTCAGCCTTAGAACCACATGGAAATGACCATTTTGGGTATTTTAACCTCAAATATAGTTCTTAAGCTCTAGGCCTATGGTGGCATGGATACATACTTCCCAGTGTAGTGTAAAGGTACTTAGGATCCTAGAACCTGGACATCCAGCCTCACTGAGAATTAACCCTGACACTCAGGTCTCCAGAAAAATGACAACTTCCTTAAGTAGACATCTACCACCCAAGATTCTATGGATCAAGATTACATAAGGTGTTGACCACTTTCTCCAAAGACCTTCTGATCCCTGATCAGATTGCTGACATAGTTAGACTTACATCTCATTTTACGTTGAGTCTGTCTGAAAATTCCAGGGTCTAAATTCTTTGTGAGTGTGGTTCTGTTTGTCATTTGCGCTGATTTCGGTTCACGGTGTTCCTGCATGTATCATGGTTTTTTGGCTGGAAGTTCATGTTCACTGGAACTTTGTGTTGGGAAAAACTTCCTCCAGTAGGATTTGTGTTTACTTCTACCAGGCCCTACCAACCTCAGTAAATGCTAAATTTGCAGCATATAGTCTTTTGAGATACGCAGGTAGTATGAACTCTGGCTCCAAACTGGCATGAGGACCAGCCTGTAGCCATAAATTTTCAGACTTTCTTTCCTCCAACCAGAACTAAGGAAAGATAGACAAGTTTCTCTGCTCTCTGCTTTTTCACATAAAAAAATTTTTTTTTTTTTTTAAAGATGACCGGTAAGGGGATCTTAACCCTTGACTTGGTGTTGTCAGCACCATGCTTTCCCATGAGAGCTAACCGGCCCTCCTAAGCTCCAGAAGGAAATGTAAACACTCAGTTCTGTTTTAGTGCTGTGGATGCAACAGACACTTAATTCTAATGAATAAAACTAGGGACAGCTAATACATAAAAGAGTAGAATACATTGTTTATTATACAACATTCTAATTTTTAAAAAAACTTTCTTTTCATAGAATACATTTTCACATTAGAGATTCCCAGTGGGAAAACAACAATTTATTATTTATAGTTTTACATTCATGGACAGATTATTTTAGGACAAGTAAAACGCATTTGCAAATTAAGTCTCATTTTAGAATTTGTAATATTTTGATACATCCACAAAGGGGACCTCTTCCCTCAGTGGAACCTCTCTATATACAGAAGTTTCCCAAGTTTTTCTTCCTAGGATGTAGAAATTCGTACTGTGCAATAACAGCATTTCCTAACGTTAAAGTTTCCCTAGGACTTGTAACCATTAGTAGCTGGTATCAACTGAACAGAGAAGGGAAGTTTTCAAAAATCAAACACAGTCTAATTTTCTGCAAAGTCTTTACTCATGAATTAAGTTTTTCCCTTTGTTCATTATTCCCAGGACAAATATAGAATAAGTTTGAACATGTATTCATAGTAATAAAGCTGGACTCTCTTTAAGAGATTGATAAAACACAAAAGCTCATATATAATGTTTAGTTTTACTATGAGTCTTGTGAGAAGCTGGGAGACAACTCCATTAACTTGCCAGAATACAGAACTCGGTCTTACAATTTCTTGGATATAATTCCTCTCAGACCTTTTCCTCAAAGATTAAATTCTGAAAATAACCATGTGATTAGAAGAGGTTTGTCCACCAACGGATTTATCTGCTATTTCCTTATTGTGAGTTGAATGGCATGACAGAGCAGAGGCAAAGAGGCATACAATCAATTCTTAAAGTATTAAGTCAAAAAGGTCAGAGCTTCCACAGCATGCCAACAGCTTTACAGATGCCCACATCATGATAGTTGAAATAACAAAGCCCAGCAAAAGTTAGAGCCGAGAGTGCCAAAAGGCCTGCCTTAGCAGCTTTCTGTGAAGCATCTCCATGAACATAGTCAGTAACAACTTGTCCAAGGCCCCTAAAGAAAAAAAAAACATAGCACAAATGAAAAATCACAAGTGAAGTTAGAAGTCTATACAGATAACTTGGCTGCAAGAAAACAGTCAGGTTTGAAATGCAATGGTTCTATCTGCCATTCCAATGTTAGCTTGTTTAGAGGATTCTAGGTAGCCATTTTTGTAGGTGAAATTATTTCTATACTTTTTTTGAGATGCTAAACCAAAGCAATTCTGGTAATAAGAATCATAAGCCAAAATGAAGGAACCAAGAGTTTCCTAATAGTGTGATAAAGACATCTTCCTATTCTTTTGATTCAATTTTCCAGTCATTTATATCTGAGACAGTAACTAATTTCTATTCTATTTACAAAATCTTATGGGCCGGCCCGTGGCTCACTCGGGAGAGTGCGGTGCTGATAACACCAAGGCCTCGGGTTCGGATCCCGTATAAGGATGGCCGGTTTGCTCGCTGGCTGAGCAAGTCAAGGGTTAAGATCTCCTTACTGGTCATCTTTAAAAAAAAAAAAAAAAAATCTTATTGTTGTTAACTAAAACAAAAGCTCTACAAAGGTCCCCCCCCCCCAAAAGATGACCAATAAGGGGATCATAATCCTTGACTTGGTTTTATCAGCACCACACTCTCCCAAGTGAGCTAACCGGCCATCCCTATATAGGGATCCGAACCCATGGCCTTGGTGTTATCAGCACCACACTCTCCCAAGTGAGCTAACCGGCCATCCCTATATAGGGATCCGAACCCATGGCCTTGGTGTTATCAGCACCACACTCTCCCAAGTGAGCTAACCGGCCATCCCTATATAGGGATCCGAACCCATGGCCTTGGTGTTATCAGCACCACACTCTCCCAAGTGAGCTAACCGGCCATCCCTATATAGGGATCCGAACCCATGGCCTTGGTGTTATCAGCACCACACTCTCCCAAGTGAGCTAACCGGCCATCCCTATATAGGGATCCGAACCCATGGCCTTGGTGTTATCAGCACCACACTCTCCCAAGTGAGCCATAGGCCGGCCCCTTCTACAAAGTTCTCATTAATTCAAAAATAATTTACTAAGCGGATACAGTATTATGTGCCAAAACTGTAATAAATGTTGGGACTACAGTAAATAAGATAGCATCCCTGCCCTTATGGGCAAACATTCTAGAGAAGGAGAAAGAAAAAGTAAAAATACATATTTTATATATAAATATGCTATAAAGAAACATTTAGAAAGAATGACCTGAATGAGAAGACATTCTAAATAAAAGTGACAATGACCCTGGCATCTCTGAAAAATGGTAAGGAGGTTGGTGTGGCTGGAGCACATGAGTGAAGTAGAGATCATTGGAAGGAAGGGGCAGACTACATAGGGCCTTGAAGGTCACAATAAGGAGTCTGAATTTCATTTGAAATATGATAGGAAACCATTGATACCTTTTAAGCCAGTAATACACTCAGTAAGGAATGACCTAATTTTACTATTTTTTATAGCAGTTTTATTGAGACATAATTCATGTACCATAAAACTTATCCTTTTAAGTGTACAATCCAGTGGTTCACAGAGCTGTGTAACCATCATCACTATTTAATTCCACAACAATTTCATCAGCCCAAAAAGAAACTCTCTACTCATTAGTTCATAACTCAAAAACTAATTTGCTTTCTGTCTCCACAGATTTGCCTTTTCTGGACATTTTATATAAATGAGATCATACAATATGTGTCTTTTGTACCAAGCTTCTTTCACTTAGCAAAATGTTTTCAATATTCACTCATATTATAGCATGTATTAATACTTCATTCCTTGTATGGCCAAATAATATTCCATTGTATGAATAAGTCATATTTTATTTAGATATTCATCAGTTGACAGACATTTAAATTGTTTCCACTTTCTGGCTATTATAAATAATGGTACCATGATCATTCCTGTGCAAGTTTTTATGTGGACACATGTTTTCAGTTCTCTTCAGTATATACCTAAAAGTAGAATTGGAAGTCATATAGTAACTCCATGTTTAATTTTTTGTTGGAACTGCCAAACTGTTTTCCCAAGTGGCTGCAATGTTTTACATTCCCAGCAAAAATGTATGAGGGTTCCAACTTCTTTATATCCTTGGCAACACGGGTTATTGTCTGTCTCTTATAATAGTTATTCTAGTGGGTGTAAAGTGGTATCTCATTATGGTTTTGATTTGCCTTTCTCTAATGACAAATGATGCTGAGCAATTTCTCATGTCCTTTTGTATATTTTCTATGGAAAATGTAATTTCACTTTTTAAAAGATCTCTCTAGCTGTAGTGTAGGAAATTGACACTGCAGGCAGGGGAAGGGGGCAAAAACAGATAGAAAACTAGTTAAAAGGCACCAGAAGTAGCCTAGGCAAGACTGTTGACTTAACCTAGGCTGGTGACAGGAAAGATGGTGTGAAGTAAGAACTCAAGCCATGTTTTGAACAGAAAACTAACAGAAAGAACTGATGGATTAGATGTGGAGTAAGACAAAAAGAACTACCTAGAATGACTCCTAGGATTTTTAGCTTGAGCAACAAAATTTAACTGAGGAGGAAGTTTTGAGGGGAAATCAAGAGAGATTTGGGGAGAAAAGAGTGATCTGAGCAATGTTAAATTTGGGTTGACCATAACACATCCAAGTGGTACATCAATTAGACAACTGGATATACAAGCATGCAAATCAGGAAAAGAAGTCAGATCTAAGCTCGCCTAGGGAAAGTGTATAAACACAGAAATTAAGAATGCTCAGACTGAGTCCTGAGAACCTTATCATTCAGAGGTTAGACAAGAGAAAGACCTGGCAGAGGAGATATCTATGGCACCTCAAAAGCCAAAGAAAAGTAATTTAAAAGAGAAAATGGTCAATTGAGTTGAATGCTGATGAAAGCTCAAATGTAGCATAGAGAATTGACAACTGGATTCAGAAAGATGAAGGTCTTTGATGACCTTGGTAAGAATGATTTAAGTTAAACCAGAGAGAAGTCCAATGAAAACAGGTTAAAAGAGATTGGATACTGAGGAACTAGAGCAATTATAATTATAGACAACTTTTCCAAGTAAGTTTTTTTCTGTGAAAAGAAACAGAATTAGCAAAGCAAGTGGAGGAGAAAAGAGAATCAAGAAGTCAACTAATAAAATGTGTTTCTTTAGAACTATTCTCTTACTCTGATTTGTCATTAATTTAGATATATCACCTTCCAAGAAACACACTTAGAGAAATATTACTGTACTTGTAGTCTAATATTTCACATGCACCTGGAATCCTTTATTTTGAAAGGTCTATCTGGTACAAAGACTAATTCTCCTAATCAACTCTAGAAACTAGGTAAGTAAAACCCTTTTTAACATTAGCTAGAGGGGGCTGGCTGGGTAGCTCAGTTGGTTATAGTGTTTATTTTGAAAGGTCTATCTGGTACAAAGACTAATTCTCCTAATCAACTCTAGAAACTAGGTTAAGTAAAACCCTTTTTAACATTAGCTAGAGGGGGCTGGCTGGGTAGCTCAGTTGGTTATAGTGTGGTGCTGATAATACCAAGGTCCAGGGTTTGATACCTATACCAGCCAGCTGCCAAAAAAAGAGATAACATTAGGTAGAAAATGGTTCGGACAAGTCACTTAACCTCCCTGGGGTTTAATTTCCGTATCTGAAAAATGAATGGTTTGTTTAAGATACTCCCCCAAATCCTTCTACTTTTAACAATCCAAAAGCGCCTCCCACCTCTTCCCAATGACATCATATTGTTCTTGCAAAACGGCATAAAAGAAACAACTCAAGGAACACAACCTGTCATTTCCACTCCTTTTAGAAGATTCATTAACTTACAGTCTTAAGAATTATACCAGATAAAACAAATAGAAACTGAGTATTCACTGACTGCTATTGTTCTAGGCACTAGAGATACAACAGCAAACAAAAACAGTAAAAAAAAAAAAAAAAATGCATGTATCATAGTAAAGGGGCAAGACTAAACTTAGGTGATAAAACTATGACAAAACACAAGGAAGTAATTACTATAAGTCAGGATAATGGTTCCTGACTGTGGGGAGGTAGCGGATGGGAGGGTGTAAGGTGGAGCAGTTATATCTGAGATGGACCACAAGGAAGAAGCTTCTGAAATAGGTGGCAAAGTTCCATTTTTTGACCTGAGTGGTATTACCCTTATAATGATTCATTAAACCACAGACTGATTCTTGTGATTTTCCGTACCTGTGCTTTCATTCGGGAGGGTGGGGTGGACAACAAATAATACACAAAATAATAAACAGATGATGTAGTACCCTAGAAGGTAGTAAGTGCTACTGAGAAAAATAAAACAGGAGAGAGAGATAAGGAATGTCAGGAAGGACACTGCAATTTTGAGTATTTTGAATGAGTGGTTAGGAAAGGCTTGTTGAGAAGGTAACATTTAACTTCTGAAGGAGATGAGGGAAGAAGCCAATTATATAACTAGAAAGAAAGAGTTTCAAGCAGAAGGAATAGGAGTAAAGCCCTGAGGCCTGGAGGGTTCTGGCATTTCGAGGAATATCAAGGAAGGCAGTGCAAATGAGGAATAGAATAGTTGGAGATGAGGGAAGTAACAGGAAGCCAGATCACGTAGCATCTATAGACCACTGTAAGAATTCTGACTTTCAGTTTGAGTTAAGATGAGGAGACGAAGTGTTTTAAAAGGGGAATGTCTTGTTCTAACTTAACATTTTAACAGGACCACTGAGGCTGCTGTGTTGGGAACAGACACAAAGGGGATCCGTTAGGAGACTACTACTGGAGGCAAGCATAATGACCAGGTTTGAGGCTTGAACAGATAGAAGAACGAATATACCATTAATTCAGGTGGGTTCAAGAGTGCAGGAGGAACAGATTTGGGGAGATCAGGAACTCAGGTTTATAACATGTTACACTTGTATTCAAAATGGTATCAGATATGGAAATAAAGACATCGAATAGGCAGATGGATATATAAATTGGGCATATAAATATTTTATATATATTTTAAAATTTCCTGCAGGCCTTATGTATCTTAATGAACTTCTCCCTCATATGTAATACATGAGACAAGCTTACAGCAAACAAAGTGAGTAATACTGAAGGAACCGCTGTACTTGCCAGTGACTATGGAGAGTGAGGGCTGCAGCCAGGGAGTAGTCCATCGCGGAGGAAGGATTCAAATAAGCAGCTGGAAGCAGGCCCAGGAGCAAAACACTGACAACCCTCTCACTGGTCCAGTGGAGAGATGCAGCCTTGGAACCAGCTACAAAAAGGACCAGATTCATAAGAATTAAGGGGGTGAAACACACATCTCTCACATTCAAAATTTGCCACAAAATAACCCAAACTGACAAACAACATATATGATTTAACTCTGGAGAGTCAGACATAAAAACAGATAATTGAGAAAGAGCTATCTTCCTTCTTTGAAATCTTTTACCATAAGAATGTCTCAATGCCTACACGTTGATTAGAAGACAGATCCGCTTTGCTTATAGGCAAGAAAATGGACAAACTATCTCTGCAGAATTAAGCCAGTCTTGAACTTCAGTGAAGTGGACAAATACCTTATGAATATGTTAGTGACACCTGATGAACTCCTTTAAAACATTACTTGTTTATTTACACCTTTTAATTTTGAAAGTAATGTGACTATCCTCCCAAATCAAAGTTAAACCAGCCAACTCAAAAAGAAACAAAGTTCTGATGTCATCTTTTAGGATCATGATCCTTCTTGTGTCCCATTACTGATAAATAGCCCAAAACAGATATGGAACGTGAAAACTTACCTTTAAGTAAGTGAAAAACAATATGGGCTTTTAAACAATTCTTTGAAAAGCTCTATCTTTTTTTGGTTACAGACCCCTTTGGGAATTTAACAAAAAGGAGGGAGCTTCCTCCCAGAAAAATGTGCATGCACGCATACATAAAAATCTAGGTATACAACTTCAGGGGCTTTCCTTCAGCCCCATATACTCCCAAGTTAAAACCACTCTGCTAAATTGAACTGAACTAAGCAAAGGAATTCCAGAAACAAAAACTTCTCAAAGATAGAAAGTTCTAAAAAGCAGAAAAACTAGATTTGCCTAATCTCTCATAACTCGGATGCAACTGTAAGTGGTTGACTTAAAAATCAAGAGAAATTTTTTTTTTTTTTTTGTGACAGGTAAGGGGATCGGAACCCTTGGATTGGTGTTGCCCGCTCCGCGCTCAGCCAGTGAGCGCACCGGCCATCCCTATATAGGATCCGAACCTGCGGCCTCAGCACTACCAGTGCTGCTGTGCTCCCAGCATTGCACTCTCCCGAGTGAGCCACGGTTTCGGCCCAGAAATTTTTTTTATTTATTTTTATTTTTTTCCTTTTTGTCTTTTTTCGTGACCGGCAACGGATCGCAACCCTCAGTGTCGCGCCCGTACCGGACCGGGACCGGCAACGGGATCGCAACCCT